TAGACGAAATCAAGACCTCGCAACACCTGATCAACGAACCACTGAAAGGTTTCAGTGGCATTCCTCAGACCGAAGGGCATATGAGTGAATTCAAATTACCCAAAGGGAGTGGTCACTGCAGTTTTCGGCACATCACTGGCCTCGATTGGGATTTGATGGTAGTCACGAACAAGGTCAATCTTGGAGAATATCCGCTTACCATGCAGCGCAAGAGTGAAGTCTTGGATGTGAGGGACGGGATATTGGTCGGGGACAGTCACTGAGTTCAACGTCCGATAGTCACCACACGGTCGCCAATCGCCGCTCTTCTTTGGGACAAGATGGAGGGGTGATGTCCAACAGCTGTCGGACTGTCGGATGATGCCGAGCTCAAGCATGTGTTCGAACTCTGCCTTGGCGATCTTCAAACGGTCCGGTGCCATACGACGTGGTCGGCAAGATTTGGGAGGTCCATTGGTGGAAATGCGGTGAGTGACTGTGTGTTTGATGTCCACTTCACGAAATGAGGGGTTGGTCAGGCGGGGAAACTGCCTGAGGAGTGAGTGGAAAGGACAGTCAGAGATGAGCATAACAGTGAGAGGGTTGACGCAGGGGTTCACATCGCATTGACAACGGGCTTGAAGGTTGGTGATGCAGTCGACGAGTCGGCGATTCCTCAAATCAACTATTAGATTGAAGTGAGCTAGGAAATCGGCACCTATGAGGGCGGCGGAAACGTCGACAATAATGGAAACCCATCGGAAAATCCGACGAAGGCCCAAATCAAGTGTGATGGAACGTTGTCCAAAGGTGGGGACGCTGGAGTTGTTGGCAGCTGTTAGACAAAAAGAGCTGCAGAGTTTGCGTTCGGTCGGAGTTGGCGGAACCACGCTAACCTCGGCGCCAGAGTCGACAAGGAATTTGGCACCAGCGATACGGTCCCAGAAAAACAAACGGCGAGTGTGGAGATTGGCAACGCGTCCGGCGACAGTGGCCTCTATTGTCGAGTGGGATCGTCTCCCTGAGGCCGCTAGAGATGCCTTGAAAGAGCACGGCTGAAGGCATCGTCAAGCAGCTCCTCCAAATTGTTGGTGACACCAGCAGACGCTACTTGGAGACTGTGGACTGTGGGTGTGGGAAACGCAGGATGTACGCCGACGGTTTGGTGTTCGCCGCGGGCCGTTAGTGGTAATTGCAGTGAGCTGGGCTTTCAGACGCATTAATACCTCCTCGAGCCGATCCAAACGTACGTTAGCTCCTTGAGAATTTGGGCTGATGAGTGACTTCTGGTCTTGCGACATCGCATTGTAGGTCACCGGAAGATTGTTGTTGTGGACAAATAGTTTGCGGAATTCCCGTGTTCGAGAAGTCGGAGCCACCCATTTGTAGCGGCCAAGGATGTGAGATCAACTTAAACCACGCCCAATAGATTCATTTCGTCTAATGTCAGCAGTCACGGAGCTGTGAGGACTAGTTTACTCTGTACACAGGGCAGGTTGCCGTAAGTTGGCTGTTTACTTGCATAAGAGAGAAGCGTCCATTAACGCGGGGGTGAATGTCTGTGTCAGTAGGTAGGGTTGACTGGCTGAGGGCTGGTCATGAGATTGGACGGATTAGGGGTAAGCATAATTACAGGGGCTCAGGGGTATCAAGCCCGGTCGCCCGACGCGCATGGGGTGATCATAGTTTGTGGGGGCAGCTGGGGGTCACTGCAGCTAGACAGGAAGGGCCACAGTTCCAGCCGGCGGGGGTGGTCGTGTGTCCGCAGCCTGGCAACGATTGTTGCGGCCATCGACCGACAAAACGGAGCCGGAGAAAAGGGGGACTGGAGCGGCTGCTACACGCTCACCCACTGTAAGCACAAAGGGAACCGATAACTCTGTGACAATCACTCAGGCATCTTGCCACTCAAAATTGCATGGATAATCTTCGCCGGCGTCCTCAACCATCTAAATACGCACCTGAAGCAGCGACTTCTCCCAGAAAGCCAGTGTGCGTAACCATCGACATGACCTGTACGGCCTGCCGAATACGGGAGAAGTGTCAAAAGTCTAGGACAAGCTTATACACCACGTTCGTCGCAGGGCCGCGTACTTGCTCCTACCTTATGAGGACGCATGTTCACTGCTGCACCGACGGACACCTACGGTGATGGACGACCAATGGTCAACATCAAGTGTCGAATCAATGATAAATCTTTCAATGCTCGTCTCCTGAAAGCTTTTTTGCAGGTATCCAAGGCAAGCGCACACGATCCACTATTCGCGAATGAGCGCACGCTAAATACCACATGGAAGGGAACATGCAGCGGAGTGTGGACCTCTTAGTCTCCGCCTACTCTAACTTCGGATTAACCGGCATGGAGAAGATGGCCATCATGTACTAACTGGCGTCCAACGCGGAGTACGAGGAATTCGGTATCAACGTTAATGGGACCAAACTTTTATTAGTGGATAAGATCGCATACCCTGGAAGTACAGTTTCAAAGAATGTCAAGCTCGACGGCGAAGCCACCCGCCGGTTCTCCAGAGCCAGCCAAGCCTTCGGCCGGCTATAGCCCTCAGTCTGGAACCGCCGCGGACTTTAATTTAACTTGGAACTTAGAATAAGCACCCCAATGGTCCCGACGACGCTGTTCTAAGGGATGGAGATATGGCCAGTCTACGAAAAAGAAGCCAGGCAACTCAATCACTTCCACCTTAGCTGCCTGAGGAGACTACTGAAGCGGAGGTAGCAGACAGAGTTTCCGACAAAAAATTCATGGAACGAACTGGAATCCCTAGCCACTGACCGATGTCACGATATATCGGCCGAAATTCTGAAATGTGCTTTCGATTAGGAAAGACAGCGTAGGTAGGGATTTTGAAATTGATTATCATGAGGCGTAACCGCATGCTCTTTCGGACTCTCCAGGATGTTCGCTTCTGGATGCACCCTTTTTCGATTTCCTATGGAAACCGCACTCAGTGGAAAATAACTACTTAAATAGTGCGATTTTTCATTTTGATTTTCGGTTTCTTTATAAATTCGAATATACTTCGTAAAAACACGCACACAATATTCTTTAAATTGCTTACTTAGTAGCAAATCACATCAGGTCGCTGGAGGTGGTTGTGATGGTGAGAGTGGCAGTTGACGGAACACCGGAGGCGTTTCAGTCGGTGGTGGGGGTAGTAGAGGTGGTTGTGGTCGTCGTCAAGGAGGTTGCGTGAGAGATGATCGAGGTTGAGATGTTCGACGGAGGTAGGGCACAGGGATTCGGGGCAGCGGTGTTGAAGGTAGACGCCGTAGGGGTTGGATCAGGGCCGGACGCGAAGCAAAAGTTTAGGTTGTCAGATTGTTGGTGCATTGGGTCCGGAGGTGCCCAACGATGCCGATTCGCGTGCGGGATGTTTGTTTAGGTCGTGGGCATGTTGGTAGTGGTTGAACATTGATGTTGCGAGCCAGAGGCGCCTGGGGCTTGCAAGCTTCCCTTTTGGCTTTGGCAGTGACAGTCCGCTTGGCTTCATAGCTGGATGATCCAGTCTTCACATCTCTTCTCCAGGCTAGTCGGTTCTGTGCGGAGTATTCCCGAGTCTTCGGATTGATTTGTAGAGGATTCAGGGAGTTCTTCAAGGACTTGATCACCTTTTCGTCGAGCACCTGTAACGACATCTCTATGGAAGATTTTTTTGGTAGGCGAGCGTCGTCCATTATCACTGTTCCATTACAGTTGAAGTTAAATCAGCATGGCGTAAATCCTGGGCATTCCGGTCCGTTCCAGGACTTCGGCGCCCACTATCCTGTCCTGCGATCTCAGTTCCATTATTCCGCGGAAATCGCTGAGATGAAAGTGATTCAGCCTCCTGGCTTGACTGAAGTAGGTGGTCCAGGCTTCCGTTCCGTGCGGAAGTGTCATCAAGACGATGGCCATGTACATCTTCAGTTTGGTGTTCAGTTAAAGGCTGTGATGATTCCACATGAGGCTTGCAGCCGGCTCTCTCACTGTTGAAGTGAGTCACTTGTCCTTTGCCAGTAACCTCCGACCTCCGAAACATCTTTACCGCATGCCATCACAGTGTCTCCTATGATCTATCAAGGATACTTCATCGAAGCCGCGCCTACTGAGAACTGGCTAGAAGAGAAAGTCGAACTTCTCACATGAGACGATCTCTGCATTTCCTTCCTTTCAGCCCGAAAGCCGTCACCGCCTCCACCGCAGCAAATGAAGTCATGAACACAGCTCAGTAGCTATGACTCTCCGACCAGGTCCCTAGTAGAAGCAGCAGATAGACGCCAGTTGGGGAAAATTATATTCCATGCAGAATGAATGAAGCGTATTTTGTTGGAGCGGGTTGGCGTTCCGTCACAAGTATGAGTCCGGCGTTTGATATTATCTCTCCAGCAAGTTTTGTACTTTCCAAAAGGTCTTGTTCAAGTCTAATTTGTGATGATTAATTTTTGCGGCTCTCGCTACTGTTGCTCCAACTGTCAGTGAGTCAGGATCGGGAATTAGCACAGTCGTCTTCTTGGATGCATTTGTTAGGAAATTGAAACATCGTTTGCGTAAAAGAGTTTGATAAGGCGAATGTGACGCAATACTTAGATTCCAATGACATAGTTAATTTCGCAACCTCTTGTCCAATTGCTGACGGACATTGCATATTTATAAAACTAACAGGTCAGTTATAAAACAGCTCAGGGTGATCAAACAGGTTGGGTACATGATTAATCGAACCCATTTGTGAAAACTGGGCAGCCTGGATGGGATTCGAATTCACGATAGCGATGACAAAGCTTCAGTGCGGCCAACGTACTAACCACCTACACTGCAAGGCTTCAACCGTGAGCTGTGAGTTGTTTTACATTTGGGTCAAGTTATCCGGCCAACTGTTAGCTGTACGCGAGCGCTGTCCATGGCATCGTGAGTTCGAATCCAACCAAAAACGCCACGTTTTTTCAGAATTTGGTCTGGCGAATTATTCAGATCTACCAAAATTGCCCATTATTTACACAGCCGTCAGGTACTGTTGATCAGACATGTCGGTGGACGTTATACAAGGAGAGAGGGAAGTTGTATGGGTGAGTGAGTTATGGTTAAAGTGAAAGTTCATCCTACGTTATTGAGGACGCACAGCATGAGACACTAGCCAGTCATTCTACAGAGGCTATTTGACAGGAGAGGGATGGGGTTAGTTCCTTCACCGACACCATGGCATTGCGAGCTAGATCAACCAGCGTAACTGCTTACACATTTCAGCTTTTTCCCTCTGTATAAGTCGCTCAGACGTCATTCGAAATAGGACAAAGAACTCAGCCGTTGGGCCCACTACGCGGTGAGTTTCCACTAGCCGTTTCGCAGTTAAACTTTTTGGTACCTAACTATTCGCTTTCGCCAGTCGTTTTGTCATATATTCAGCTGACCTAATCGCTAACTGCATTTACGTGAGCGCAAGACATTCACGCCCACAACATCAAGTAAATCCGTTGATACAGCTTAGCTTGAAGTGCAGAGGCAAGTCAGCTATAATTGGTCTAACTGAAATAGCCGTTGTGATGCTTAGTCACAACCAACTAGAGGCAACACATGCCAATTCGTATAGTGGTGCCGTTGCTTTATCAGGTTTAGCATATTATCGCCTTCCAGAGGAGTTTTGGCACGGATCCGATCGCGACGTACATGCACATCTACTCACATCACGGGCATCCGCTGGACTACACCCACCCTCGCGGGCGTGGTCAGTATCACATGCTAGTGACTAAGACAGGGTGTAGTGCGGACTGCTTGGTGGATCAACGTCTTGTCACTTCCATAATAAGGCTTCAACCGTAATCCCTCATCCGACTGTAAGGTAAATTAATAACAGATAACCTAAGTATTCAGTATCAGTATCAGTATCAGTATATTTCAGGGAAAGTAGGTGTGTACCTTTGAAATCCCTATTGGTTACATGCAGAGGATA